GATCACTATTTTTCTAAATTACGTTTTGATCTCGGTTTTCGATTTTCTTTTCAAAAATACCCCCAGAATCTAAATTTTCACTCCTTTTTTTCCAAAATCAATTTCAATTAAATCTCAAAAATAATTTTATCATATTTTATTATTTTTTTATTTTTATTTCTATTAAATTAAATTAAATTAAATTAAAATCTTATAAAATAAAAATTAAAATAGAATAAAAATAAAAATAAAATAAAAGAAAAATTTTTGGGTGTTACATTTTTCGTATCAGTGGTAAGATGTTGATATTTTTCTTAAGCTAGTCTAGCTCACCCACTTTCTTATTAACTATTTCAAATCAAGACGACCAATATTTAGATCCTAAACAACAAGAGACTACTTAAACAACTACTTCTTTTGCTTTGTCAATTTTGAGTAGAGATTAATCATATTTATTGTTAATATTTTTTCATTTAAGTTTCAAAACATTTTCATAACTTATATTTGGGCGTTTTAAGTAAACGTCCAAAAAATATAACATTTAAAATTCAAATTCTTTCATTAAATGAAAAATTTTAGTATTGTTTATATTATTGACTATACGTTCAAAATTTCTGAAAATGGTTTAGAATTTTATATAAAAAATTTTAACAGTGGTAGTCATAACATATTAAAAATTATTATATTTGATATGTTAAAATTAATTAAACTATATCATTAAATTATATCTTAGGGTAGGAAAAAATTATGAGAATTATAAGAATTATTATAAGGATATTTTTTGACAATTTTTTTAAAAATATTTAATAAAAATATATATATATTTATTGTTAAAATTAAAAATAATAATAATAATTAAAAAGGATATGGTGGGTGGAGTTGAAGGTGGTGTCTATCTGGTAAAATTAAATTTGGGAGGCTACAAAGTCCGAGTGAGTCTTGCGGGGGTCCACATGGGGTTTTGAGAGAGTCAAAGCAGATCCTCTATACACTTATTTGTTTATTATAGTAATGAGTGGAAGTTGTTTGTCGCCGCTTTTCTGGAGACTTGAAATTACCATTGAGTAAAGAACTTAGAATTAAATATAAATCAAACTATATTTAGTATATATTAAATAATTACAAATTTTGATCTTCTTTGAACAGGTTTAAATTTTAAGAGAAAATTTGTTATTTCTTTTACCTTTTATTAATCCATTAAGTATTTTGTAATTAAAAGATAATCTCAATTCAATTTTATTTTTTAAAATAAATAATTAAAAATTTTCAATACTGTCTATTTATAAATTTATAAATAATTCTATTAACATAAAATGAACTGTCATATATTTGACATATTTTAAAAAAGAATTATATTTGATATTGAATTGAATTACGTATATGTTGTAGCAATCTTTTTTTTTTTTTTTTGCAATAAGAGGTGTTAGGAATTCTTCTTATATGTGCTTATTTTATTTTTTTATAAATGTATATGATTTGCACATAAATTATAGTTATAAGTCTGTTATATATATTAAAAAATTTATATTATATTTTAAAATTATAAATTTAAATATATAAAATTTGTCAATTTATAACTATAATATATGCTAACAATAATCTATTTATAATATTTAATTTAATAAAATTAAATTTTTACATTTGTTTAGATTATCAATATATAATATATTGTGAGTTAATAATATATACAATATAATTAAAAAAATTATAAATTTAAGTTAGATTATGATTTTGTTTAACTTTATTTTTTAAAAAATAAGATATTTTTATTGTATTATAAGTTGTACAAATGTATAATTTATTAACAGATGTACAATTTTTACTTTTTTAAAAAAAATAAAATAAACGCAAAGTATTATGCTTTATGATTAATGACACAGACAGTAAAAATAATAATAATTAATAAGTGGATGAGGTTTACAATTATACAGGTTGATGTACATAATCTCTCTTAATAGAAATTTTAATTGCGATAAATTGGAGTTTTTTTTTTTTTTTTTTAATTTTCAAAAAATTTAATTATTTTAAAGAATGATATCTGAACTTCGTTAATATATGAAGATATATTAAAATGTTTACATATTTATACATCACTTATAAATATTAGAAATGAAAATGTATAAAATTTAAATTTTTATATCAACAAAATTCATTGGATAAAGCTGAACAAATATATATATATATATATAATAATGAAAGAGGACGAGTTTGGGACGCATTTGTGCCCTACGCCAACTTTAGACTAACCCCAAGAAATTCTCCCTCCAAAGTCTTCCAAAGTTGCACGCATTGGCACCCAAATATTATTTATTTATACCACCAAAAATTAAAAATTCTATTTTTATTTTTTAAAAAACAGCTTTAAATAAAATATCTTTTCCTTTTTATTTTTTTAAAAATTCAGGCGTTGCTTTGATTTTATTGTTCACACCACTCTCTCTCTCTCTCTCCTCAAAACTGTAAAACAGTGTTTACGACTTTAGGCACCCCACCTCCTTCTTCTTTAGCAGTAATGGCCCTTTGCCGCTCTCTCTGTGATTCTTCAATACCTTTGTGCCTTCATTTTTCAAACTCTACACCTCTTTGTCTCTCCCACACAGACCCCACTTTAACTCTACCCTCATGGGATACCTCTCCTGCAATGCCGACTCTGCCATAGCCGCCTGTGATCCCTACAACTGGGATCGTCGCCGGAGAAGAAAGGGGAAAACTCGAAGCAAAAACAAATCTGGGCAACCGG